AAAACAAAACAAAACAAAAAAAACTAGGTGGTTAGGAAAAGCAGGACTATGATGTTAGTCCTTTGATTAGAAACTGGAAAGGAGGTTTATCTGTGAAAAAGCATTCCAGGGAGGAAAGAGCAAGGTCAAAGCTTGAGGCTGCAGCTTGCTTGCAGTTTTTGAGAAATAGTGAAGCCAGTGTGTCTGGAGCAGAGTGGACGAGTAGCAGGAGCTGCAGGCAGAGAGCAGCAGGGCCAGACACCCTGGGTCTTGTTTAGGCATTGGAAGCACCCCGTCTTTGTTTTGTTTTACACTGAGTGAGATGGGAGCCACCAGAGGGTTTCAAATAGAGGAGTTAAAAGGATCTAATTTCTGCTTCAACAAGATGACTCTGGCTGCTGGGTTTCATGGGGCAAGGGAAAAAGCAGGAAGATCAATTTGGAGGCCCTCGAAATGATCCAGACAAAAGCTGCTGGGGGCTGGGCTGAAGCAGTGAATTGTGGAGGTGGACGGACGTTCAGATCAGGAACTGCTTTGTGATACATCTAGAGATATTTATTTTATATTCAGGGAACATGATTGTTTCTAGTGTCTCAGTGAAATAAAGCAAAGTCATCAGCTGAAGGTGAGAATGTTGGACGAGGTATTGGAAATTCGAGGAAAGAGGAGGGGTGAGATAGGCCCGGGGGTTGGACAACTTTTTAGTACAGAAACTGATGGTAAATATTTTTAAGCTTTGCTCGCCAAAAGGCGTTTGTCACAACTACTCGCCTCTGCCTCTTGTGTGCAAGCATTCATAGACAACGTGTAAACCAATGGGCACAGCTATGCTCTAATAAAACTTTATTTACGAAACAGGTGGCCAGCTAGATTTGGCCTTGGGTTGGGTTGGGAGGGAGGACATAGTTTGCCAACCCTTGATTTAGGCACATGGTGGTGTGAATATACTAGGATTATACAATATGAGATTAAAGGTCACGAATTTAACATGTGACCTGTTGGTTCATTCTTTCTTTGGCCATATTTATCTGAAAGAGTGCTGACACGGAGTGGGTGGCGAGTTAACTTAAGTAAATACCAAGAAGCAGGTATAGACAAAGGAATCGAGCCTGTGGGATGGAGGGATGATAATGATTGACCGTGGAAGAATTTAAGCTGAGTAAAGAGGTGACTGAATTTATGGGAAGTTTGGAGGATAATGAAAAGGTGGTAGGATCGATGGATTGAAGGTTCCAGCGGGGATTGAAGGTTTGTTGGTATTAAATGAAGTAATCTAGAAAGACAGGAGGTGGTGGTTGAAGAGTGAGACGCTTGTAATGAAGATAATTGGGGAGTCACAGTGACTGGTAATGACACGTTTGAGGCATGACGATGGGAGTGAGTGTCTGAGGTGGAAGAGGAGATCAGAAGGTGCTACTGAAAGTATTCCTGGGTGGTCATGTTAAAAGGATCATGTTATTTCTGAACAAAGACTAAGGTTTCGTCCCTTAGTTTAAAACGGATTACAGTGTTAATGAAAATTTCACCTCCTAAAAGAGACTTTGATTGTGATATTTTAAGATATTTTTCTTGGTGCTAAATCTAAGAATACTATCTTCTTTTGCATTAGAATATTAAGAACATTATGGATATAGATAGACTGGAGAAGAAGATTGAGGAATTGTCTAGAACGGAGACAGAGCAGCAAGTAAGCACTTCCCATACTGGTAAAATACATTCTTCTGTCAAACCATTATTATTTTGTGCAGATGTATAAGACTCATTGACAAAATAACCTTTGGTTATAAATTCTGAAGTTTGTGCTCCTCAGTATGTCTGAAATATATGCAAGGCGGTTTCTTTTTCTTTTTCTTCTGCTAACATCTTTACTGTGATACATAATTCACATGCCGTAAAACTCACCCACTTAAACTATATGTCAGTGTTTATTAGTATATTCGTGGAGTTGTACTACCACCATCACCAAAATCAAGTTTCAGACATTTTCATCACCTTAAAAGAAAACCCTTTGACAGTTAAACATCATCTCCTTCCTGCCCTCAGCCCTAGGCAACCACTAATCTATTTTCTGTTTCT